CAGCATCAGTCCTTCCAATGAATCGTCAGGGTTGATTTCCTTTAGGATTGACTGGTTTGATCTCTCTGCTGTCCAAGAGACTCAAGAGTCTTCTCTAGCACCACAATTCAAAAGCATCAATTCCTGGTGCTCAGTCTTTTTTATGGTCCAACTCTTACATCCATACATGACTACTGGAAAAACCATAGCTTTGACTATACAGACATTAGGCTTCTTTAGATTTTCTTTTTTGAGGTAGTCAAAGGAGAAATGGAAAATGAAATGGTTTTTTACTTGAATCACTGAATGTAACCATTGTCAATGTTTGTTCAGATTTCAACAAAGATACATTTAAGCACTTATAGTCGGACAGAGTCAGATGTGACTGAAGCGACTAAGCACGCACCCACTGGGCATGCCACCATGCTGGGCATCAGGCCACCAAGGCCAACAGGACATGGTTCTAACCCTGGGGAAGCAAGGGGACGAAATGTGTCGATAATTAACTAGAGTTCCCTGTGTGAATCTCCATTGTACAATTCTTTCTGAAGGACAAAGGGTGCAGCCACCAGAAGGGAAAAGGGGACAGAATAATACTCGAGTTGGGTTTTAGAGAATGAATAAAGCATCACCCAATAAAGAAGAGAGGAAGGGGAAAGAGGAAGGAACCAGAGGAAAGGAGGAGGGGAGCTCACAGGCAGAGGCGTGAGTGGACGGGAACTGCCTGATTGGGGAAGGTCCCATGGTTGGGAGTGCCAGCATTCAGGGCATCAGGATGGTGGGGGCTGTTGTACCCCATCTGTAATGTTCTGAAAACAGTGGGATGCTCTGAAGATTTATAAAGCGCAGTTTGGCCAAGGAAAACTGTGGAGGGGGTTGGAAGGAAGGTGGGAATTTGTTCACAGTGAGACTGTGCACAGGACATTAGATGCAAAGTCTGTGGCGAAGCTGGGGTGTGCTGTGTCGGGGGAGTCTGGCCGATGTCCTCTGGGACTCCCCATGATGGTTTCCTAGTGAATTCACTACAGTCCAAGTGAGGGGCCTAAATCAGAAACCACACTCGTCAGCTCCCCGAGAGGGGTGGTCTCTTAGGGAAAATCCAAGTTTACCAGAGTAACACCTGAAGGCTAATCTCCATTTCCAGTAAATGTCAAAGCAAAAGCAATGATCAATCTATATTAATTTACATTTACAGAATACCAATTTACACAAGATACATGCATACCTTCTACAAAAGAGCCATGACTGACTTGCCCGTTTTATTTCCATGACTGAGATGTGGTGGGAAGCTGGCCCACTGAGCTGCAATTCAGAAGCAGCAGTTGGTCATGAGAGAGATTTGAGAGGGCTTGGAGTCTCCATCCACGTGGCTGTTGCGCCTCCAGGGCTGGACAAGTCCTGGCTGTGGGCCGGATCGTCTGCTCCAGACATGGGTGGATTGTCCCTGCCAGGGCCGGCTCTGTAATGCTCCTTTTCAGGGCCTTCAGACAGCCTCATTCTTTTTAGATTCTCTGGTCAGCCTCCTCTGGCAGGTTTGCAACGGAACTGCTGTCCTGCGGTTTTCTCAACCTTGGTTTCACATTAGAATCAGCGGGGATAAATGAAAAAGCTGCTAATATCTGAGCTTCACCTCCAGAAATTCTAATTTTATTGGGCTGAGAGGCAGCCTGGGTGTGTGGGGTTTTACAAGCTCCCCAGTGATTTCAATGTCCGATCAAGGTTGAGAGGCTTTGCTTTAAGGCAACTGCAGATCTCTGCTCTGGTCCACTGAGTCTGATTTTTCTCCTAGAGGGTCACTTCTCATGGATCAGGTGCCAAGTGCTTCTCAAGCATTACATTGTTTAATTCTTTAACCAGGCTGCCAGGCAGTGGAGAAGAGCAATGGTGTGGAGGAAGGAGTCAGGTATGATTCCACGAAGACCTGGGTTTGACCTCAGCCCCACTGCCTACCAGTCAGGTGACTTGGGGCAAGTTACATAATCCCTCTGAATCTTTGAGCCCTCATCTGTAAAATGGGAATAACAATATCTGCTTCTTAAGGCAGTTGTGATGGAGAAGGAAATTGCAACCCACTCCAGTGCTCCTTGCCTGGAAAATCCCATGGATGGAGGAGCCTAGTAGGCTGCAGTCCATGGGGCCACTAGGAGTCAGACATGACTGAGCAACTTCACTTTCACGCATTGGAGAAGGAAATGGCAACCCACTCCAGTGTTCTTGCCTGGAGAATCCCAGGGACGGAGGGGCCTGGTGGGCTGCCGTCTGTGGGGTCACACAGAGTCGGACANGAATTCGGTTCTCCTGCATTGCAAGCAGATTCTTTACCCTCTGAGCCACTGGGAAAGCCCCATGTTAAACCCATGTTAAACAATATGTGCACCCAAATTAAGAATATAAACCCTTCTTAATGAGGTGAATGGGCAGCTGGCTAAAGAAAAATAATTTGCAGTGGGAAGGTAACTGAGAGCCAAGCTCCACTGAGAACACTACAGGCTCTTTCCCTTCACAGGGTCCAGGTAAGGAGGGGGGAAGGGGCAGAAGCTGCAGACACCCACCTGCAGGGCCTGAGTGGAGAAAACCTGGTCACCCCTTGGCATAGGCCAAGTGGAAGGGTGAAGACATGGGGCCGGCACCCCTCAGATGCCAGGCCAGGGAGCTCACACTGACTCTGTGTGTGCGTATGCGTGTGTGAGTGTGTGTAGTGCTCGAGGTGTAAGTCTGACAGTCCCGGAGGGGCCACATTCCCAAGCATCCCTCCCACTCTCCAGGCTCCCTGCGAACTTTGCTGCTCTGACCCTTTGGATCTCTCTGGGCCTCTTGCTTCTCTCTTTTGGCTGAAAGGTATGTTCCCAGGAGAGGCTTCCAGCAGGGCCACCACCTCCATGACTGCTCTTGAGTGTTCCCTGTGTGCACCCTCCCTTGGGGAAGCTCCAGTTGTACCCTCTGACCCCACTGGGGAGCCCGATCGCACACTCCTTGGTCAGCAAGTGAACATAGCAGCAGAGCTCCCCCAAGCAGACATCAGCCTAGAGCCACAGGCCCCCTCTCCCTGCCCCTGTATGTGGAGAAGCAGAGGTGGACTAGCAGCCCTAACCCTCCCCCACCCCGCCTGTCAAGCATTGGTTTAGGGGGCAGGATGAGAGCATTTATACTTGTCATGGTTCAAATTTCTTTAAACAAGAAAACACAAGAAAGTAAAAATATGACATTCATCTGGGGTGAGAGAATAAAGAAATGCTGAATCACTGAGGTGAGAAGCAAAATAAAAGTAATCACCAACAGCAAACCAGCTCTGCCTTTAACCCCTTCCCCGTCTGAGCACTTTTCACTATGCGTGCATGCGTGCTAAGTCAATTCTGTGCAACCCTATGCACTGCAGCCCACCAGGTTCCTCTGTCCATGGGATTCTCCTGGCAAGAATACTGGAGTGGGTTGTTCTTTCCTCCTCCAGGGGATCTTCCCGACCCAGGGATTGAACCCGTGTCTCTTAGTCTACCTACACTGGCAGCCAGGTTCTTCACCACTAGCACTGCCTGGGAAGCTCCACTTTTCACCATATGCTGCTCATATTCTGGAATCAAGAATGTGGCTCCCATGACTTTTAGTCTTTCTGTGACAGTCCGTTTGCCAAAAGTTAATTCCTGGTTGAGCCTGTGTCCCGGCAGCTCCTGTAAGAAACGACGGGATTTCATGTAGCCTGAGCTTCCGGTTTCCCTCTGGTCACAGGCTGAGCTGGACCCAAATCTCTGTGCCCTGAACTCCCCCCTTGCCAGGACCTGCCCTCTCAGTGGGGCAGGTCTGCAGTCATGGCTTCCAGCTGGGGAAAGAATCCATCTCCTCCTGACCTCACAGCCCCCTCTGGAAAAAAACCACTAGACAGGATAAAGCAAGCTATAGATGCAGACACCACAAAGGTTCCCTTAGCCTGGAGGCACCTGAGAAAGCCACGTCTTTGAGGCCTGCCTGCCCCTGGCCTTACTCCTGCCCCTACACTCCTTTCTGGAAAATGTCCCAGTTCTTATTTATGTCCATCCGAAGAACATGGCCAGGGAGGGGCAGCCGGGATGTGAGGCCCTGGAGGCTGTTGCTTGACGAGGTGGGACTGTCCCCACTGGGACACCTCTGGCTCCACAGTCCCCTGTATGCCCGAGACATCCTCAGCTCAGGAACAGAGGAGGACCCCAAAGCTGAGGAAATGGGGAAGTGAGGATTTGGGGACCTGTGGCAGCAGGGACTTCCCCTAGAACCGCAGGGGAAATACCACAGAGTAGAAACAAGCAGCAAGAGGAGGGGGAGGAGAAAGAGAAGGAAGGAGAGAGAAGGAGGGAGCTAGGTAGGGTGACAGGGAGTTGAAGGAAGCACCTTATAAGATCTGGGACACAGGCCTGTGGGGACCCTGTCCTGGGGCTCCAGAGAACAAGTGGTCTGTAGACGCCTTACCTTCATATTAAAGACCCAGTCAGTATAAAAGAGGAGCTGGGGAGGCCCAAGAAAGCTTCTGTAGGCACTTACTGTAACTGAACCGTACATTTAAAAATGGCCCAATGAGGGCTTCCCTGGCGGCTCAAGGGTAAAGACTCTGCCTGCCAATGTAGGAGACATGGTTCGATCCCTGGTGCGTGGAAGATCCCACGTACTGCGGGCAACTAAGACCGTGGGCCAGAACTGTTAATTCTGTGCTCTAGAGCCTAGGAGCCACAACTACTGAGCCCATGTGCTGCAACTACTGAAGCCCACGTGCCCTAGAGCCTGTGCTCTGCAACAAGAGAAGTCACCGCAATGAGAAACCTGCATTTCAGAAACTGAAACTAGAGAGTAGCCCCTGTTCACTACAACTACAGAAGAAAGCCTGCACAGCAACAGAGGCCCAGCACGGCCAAAAATAAAATAANAACATAGTATGGTCTATCCATACAATGGAATATTATTTGTCCAGAAAGGAACGAAGTACTGCCTCATACTACAGCATGGATGCCCCTCAGAAATGCTACACTGAGGGAAAGAAGCGAACCACAAAAGACCACTCATTGCATGAATCTATTTATGTGAAATTTCCAGGATCTAGGCACCTTTGTCATGACAGAAAGGTTTAGTGGTTACATAGAATTGGGAAGGCGTTGGAGGAAAATAGAAAGTATAGCTAACACAATTTGGAGTTGCTTTCTGAGGTGATGAAAATGTTCTAGAATTAGATAGTAGTCATGGTTATGCAACTTTATGACTATATTAAAACCCATTAAATTATACATGTTAAAAGCATGAACTTCATGGTATATGAATTATATCTTATTTAAAGAATAAGATTTTGAAAACTTTAAAAAAATAGTCTTCTGGGGAAAGTATAACCGTGACTCCAGAATCCTCACTAGCAATTCCTTTCCTTTCTGTGACAGGAACCCAGCAGGTTGGGGTCCACAGAGCTGAGAAGCTCCTGTCTCAGGCATCACAGATTCAGGATGCTCCCAGCAGGGAGGGGGAGGCAAGGGAGGACGATGGGAGAGAGAGGACCTCGGGGTGTGAGGAGAGAGAAGAGGACCCAGGCTCCCCAGCTCAGGGCCCGTCCCCCCCCATCCCCACCCCTGGCTCTGGGGTCCCAGCCACATTCCCCATTCCAAGAACCACCTGGTTGTGGGAGAAGCCCCCGTGGGAGAAGGCAGGGAGGTCAGGGGCACAGGCAGCAACCTGGGGCAGGCAAGCCAGGGAGTTGACCTCACAGGACCCAGCATCCTGGTCTTCCCGGAAGTAGATGGAGTCAGCAGAATCCATGGAGGGCTCCTGGTCAAAGAAGTTGTAGGGTCGCAGGAAGAAGCCCACACCGTTCCCCACTGTCACGGTGTTGGGAATGTCCTCTGCATGTGGGATGTGCAGGAAACCGGCTGTCACCCAGGCCACCAAGTCCTAGCGGGGGAAGAAAGAGGGTCATGAGGTCAGGTGCTGCTAAGGACACCTCTGCCTCCCACAGTGGCCTCACATGCAAGGACTGAGCTCATCAGCCTGGAAAAATGTGAAATCATAACACTTTCTTCCTTAGTGAGTCCTAAAGACCCCTGGAGAATTCTACTTGGAAGGGAGAGAGGAGGCTCATGCTGGCTCCCTCTGCCTCCTCCCTCACCCCCACAGGACCCCACTTGACTCACTTGCCCAGCAATGGTCTCATTGTTGATGAAGTCACTGAAGTCCAGGGTGGGGCTCCAGGGGTCGTTCAAATTATAGATGCTGGTGCTGCTGGGTTCCCCCTCCTTTCGCTGGGTCACGGCCAGCTGGTACCTGCAGGGGGTTTGGATTAGACCCACAAGATCATCGACTCATCCTGCTGCCTGAAGCTGCACTGAGGAGAGGACACAAAGGGGAAAGGAGGCACAAAGGTCTTAGGGTGCCCAGCCTCTTTATCATCCTCTGTCCACTTCCCACTCTCTCTCACAACGTTCCTGCATGTGTTCAATATCATGTATCTCAAACATCTACTAGGCCATCGTTCAGACTTCAGGTGGGACTGTGACTCATGCCTCCATGCACATGGGACTCTGGGCCTGCATGCATTGGCACAGACATGGCCTGATTCCCATCTTGGGTCAATTTCAGTATCTCATGTACCTGGATTTTAGGGAGGACTCCCTCAGAACTGTGCTCCTTTCTTCCTCTATTCTTCCCTCCTTCAGCCTTTTTTTTTTTTNTTTTTTGTATTGGGGTATAGCCAATTAGCAATGTTGTGATAGTCTCAGATGGACAGCAAAGGGACTTGGCCATATACATTCATGTATCCATTCTCCCCCAAACTCCCCCGCCATTCAAGTTGCCACATAACTTTGAGCAGACTTCTTTGTGCTACACAGTAGGATCTTGTTGGTTATCCATTTAATTTTTTTATTTTTGGCTGCACAGGGTCTTCGATGCTGTGAGCTCAGGCTTTTTCTAGTTTCAGGGAGCTAGTCTTCATTGTGGGGCACGGGCTTTAGGCACGAGGGCTTCGATAGTGGCGGCTCAGAGGCTGGAGTGCTGGCTCAGTAGTTGTGGTGAACGGGCTCCGTTGCCCTGCAGCATGAGGGAATCTTAGCTTCCTGACCAGGGATCGAGCCCGTGTCCCCTGAATTGGCAGGTGTATTCTTAGTCTGGACCACTAGGGAAGCCCAATTTTAAGTATAGCTGCATGTATAGGTCTATCCCAAACTCCCCAACTATCCCTTCCCCTCACCCTTCCTTCCTGGCAACCATAAGTTTGTTCTCTAAGTCTGTGAGTCTGTTTTGTAAATAAGTTCACTTGCATAATTTTTTTTCTTCAGGTTTCTAATGTAAGGGATGTCATACAATATTTCTCCTTCTCTGACTTACTTCAATCAGTGTGACAGTCTTTAGGTTCATTCATGTTGCCGCAAATGTCCTCCACCCTACCAATGCCCCTACCCCCGTTTTATTGAGAGATAAGTGACCACTGGTGGTTAAATTTCATACATTTTATGTTAGGGTGTTCTTCCAAGGTACTTAAAGAAATTTGATTCTATTAGGTTGAACATACTCCTTAAACAATTATTTTGTGTGGCTGGGTTTCCACTGACCTTCTCCTTCTGAGGAGCTGAAGCCATTACTTCTTTCTAATGGCTGAGTAATACTCCATTGTGTATATGTACGATATGTTCTTTATCCATTCCTCTTTCAACGAACATTTAGGTTGTTTTCATGTCTTGGCTGCAGACAGTGCTGTAAAGAGTGGGCAATGAACAGTGGAGTGCATGTATACTTTTAGATCATATTTTTCTCTGGGTATATGTCCAGGAGAGGGACTGCAGGATCGTATGGTAGTTCTATTTTTCAGTGTTTAAGGAACATCCATACTATGTTCTTCATAGTGGCTGTACCAATTTATGCTCCCACAAGTAGTATGGGGGTGTTCTCTTCTTACCATACCGTCTTCAGCATTTGTTTATGGATTTTTTAATAACTATTTTGACTCAATCTTTTTTTATAAGGTTTTTTTTTATATGGACCATTTTTTTTAAAGTCTTTATTGAATTTGTTATAATCTTGCTTCTGTTTCATGTTTTGGCTTTTTGGCCATGAGAAATACGGGATTTTAGCTCCCTGACCAGGGATCAAACCCACAACCCCTCCATTGGAAGGTGAAGTCTTAACCACTGGACTGCCAGGGAAGTCTCTCCTCTCCAACCTTGATTATGAACATCTTAAACATACAGAAAACTTGAAAGAGTAGTAAAGTGAACACCCACACACCCACCTCATAGAATCTACTGATGCCTTAAATGCTTTTTCACATTTGATTCAGTATCTATCTTTCCATTCATCCATTCACCCAGTAGGCTTCAATTTGAGCAGCCTAAGATTGTGGCTGTAGGAATGCATGTGTGTGAGAATGTGTGGTTGTGAGTGTGTACACACACCCATGGGAGGTGGGGAACCTGGGCTCCCAGCAACACGTAGCCTTTTGTACCATCCACCTCCCCCAGTGCCTCCCTTATATCCCATCACCCACCTTGCCCAGCTGAAGGCTCTCTCCATGGAGCTGTTCTGGGGCAGTGGCCCCCCAGCAAAGCTGACCGTCTGGATGCGGTAGCCCCGAGGGTGCCCCCACTTATTGTTCTGCTTGCTGGCCAGGTACAGGTAGCGAGGGGAGGCCCCTCCCAGGGGGAAGGTGGCCTGCTCCTCTGTCTCCAGCTGCTTCCGGGTCACCTGCAGCCTCTGTATCTGGTGCTCGGGGCTCCAGGGTACTGCCGAGGGGACAAAAGCCATGTCCTCAGCCCAGACCCAGTTCTCCAATCCTGCGGGAGTGGAGCGGGGAGAAGGGGGGAGTGAGAGTGAGTCAGGCAGCTGCCTTGCCCCCTCTGGAGTCTGCCTGCTCCTGGCTTCAGAGTAGGAGCCAAAGACAAGGCTGGACTGTGTCCCTTGCTTCCCTGCCCTCTCCCCAGGATGTCCCTGATCCAGATTTGGAGAAGGCCTTTCTTCTGGACATCATCTCTGGTAATAACACCAGATGCCCTACGACTGAGTTTCCATTGACCTTCTCCTTCTGTGGAGCTGAAGGTAGGGTAGTTTACCTGAGGTTAGAGCAGTCTAGCAGACGATGTGCAACTTAGGTTCTTTCTGACCCGAGGAAAAGGTTTGCATATCTGAAGCTCCATCATTAGAACTGCCTTCTCATGAACATAATCACAGCAGTAGCTCAATTTCCTGAACTTGGAGGAGTTCTACACAGGCAGTGTGCTGAGGGCTTTACATGGATTGATGCTTTACTTGCACAACAACCCATTTTATGGATGGGACAACCGAGGCTTAGATATGCCCCAGTCTGTCACCAAGGGCACATGGTTAGTTTCATGGCAGTGCCGGAGACCTAGGTCTCAATCTGGTTCTACACTGACTATACATGAGTATCCAGAGGAAACCAACATCAAGTGGCTCCACCACTCATGGACAGCAGACATGCAGGCCAGCGGGAAGGAAAGTCAGACCCCAGGCCCAACACTAAGCTGGGGCTTAGTGGTGCTTTCTATTGTTTGGGGCAAGGAATTAGGCACAGTATGTTGCCTGCATATTTGTTTTGAACGAATTTATTGGCGTCCAGCTGGGTTCCACATTAGGAATCAACTTAAGTGATCTGAGACCAAAGAGCAGTAAGCTAAAACATGCCAGAAGCTCCCTCCATACCTTCAAAAGGTTAGGGAGATCGGAGACTGATTGAGCAAAGCCTGTTTCCTCTTGTGAATTACTGCTCCTAGGCCACACTCCACAGTTTTTGCTTACATGCGTGTTAGTCGCTCAGCCATTTCTGACTCTTTGTGAGTCCATGGACTGTAGGTCTCCAGGCTCCTCTGTCTATGAAATTTTCCAGGCAAGAATACTGGAGTGGATAACTATTCCCTTTTCTAGGGGATCTTCCCGACCCAGGGATTGAACCAGAGTCTCCTGCCTTGCAGGCAGATTCTTTACCATCTGAACCACTGGGGTAGCCTTTCTACTTACAGATGATAATTACAGGCCAAGAGTTCTCTTTTCTGGTACAGCCACACAAGCAAACTCATATGGATAATAATAACAATCATAGCTAATAGTTCTCCACGTGTATCAGACACCATTATACGTGCTTTAAGGTTTGCCATAGGGACTTTTTAAGTGGTCCAGTGGCTAAGACTCTGAGGTCCCAATGCAGGGGGCCCAGGTTTGATCCTTGGTCAGGGAACTAGATACACATGAAGCAACTAAGAATTCACAGGAGACCTGGTGCTACCAAATAGATAAATAAATGCATATATATTTTTCAGCCTGGATGGGGGGAAGTTTGAGGGAGAAGGGATACAAGTATATGTATGGCTGAGTTCCTTTGCTATCTACCTGAAACTATCACAACACTGTTAATTAGTTATTCTCCAATAAAAAGTTTGTTGTGTTTTTTTTAAAGGATTTCCCTGTCCAATTCAGGGGACATGGGTTCAATTCCTAGTCTGGGAAAACTCCACATGCCTCGGAGAAACTAAGCCCGTGCACCTCAACTACTGAGTCTGCACTCTAGAGTCTGTGCTCTGCAACAAGAGAAACCACCACAATGAGAAGCCTATGCACTGCAGCTCTAGAAACCCCACTCACAGCAACAAAGACGCAGCAAAGCCATAAATAAATAGACAAGTACATTTTTTTTTAAAAGTTGTCCTAGTTTGGATGTAGAGATAAAGAAATACATGTGTGTCAGTTAGAATACATACATATATTTTCTAGTTAAGTCCAATAAAAGACCCTAAAAGCAATGACATCCCAGGAATAATGAGCACACCTGGTACCCAGATCTTGGTTTCTAAATACTATTCTCCAGTAAAAGAAACCAGAGATTCCTGGAGAAGTGGTTGAATCAAGGGTTAGAAGAGGGAAAATACAAGATGGAATGGGAACATATTGTGGTGCCAGAAGAGTAAAGAAGTGCTCAAAAAAGGAGGGAATCATGTCAGCAGGACACAGAAACTAACCTGAAGGCCCTCCCAGTGACCAAAGCTGGAACAATTTAGGGAAAAAAATAAATGATAGTAGGGGGTTATAACCCTTAGAATAAAATATCCAGGAGTCCATACAGTTGTGAATAAATAATTACATATATAAATAAAATGGAGGGACAACACTTTTTTATGGAAAATTCCAATGAATAAATGTATCAAGAAAAAGAGACAAATGTAAATGACACAGTAATAATCACTGTTGCAGGAAAAAATCCACCAATAGATGCTAATATTCATAGACAAGAGCATGAGAAGAAAGAATTGAGAAGAAAAGAAATAGTATATTTGCATAGCATCCACCAATAGATGCTAACATTTGTAGACAAGAGCTTGAGAAGAAAAGAAATAGTATATTTGCACAGCATCAAAAATTTACCCCAACTATTTATTAATTGCAAGTGGAAAAACAGTAACTTTTGCAATGGAGGTAGCTGGAAAACAGCACCTTAACCAAGTGCTTGAGTCCCACATCACTGGCTATAAGACATAAGGACAAGATGTATCCCATGATACGATGCTCTGAGAAGGGTGTAGTGTCATTCCTGTGGTTTTCTTACCCAAGAAACTCAATGAAAACAAAAACACAAGCTCAATCTAACCATGAGACAGTATCAGAGAAAACTCAATGAAAGACATTCTACAAAATGATTAACTAATATCTTCTAAAGTGTCAGTTCCTGGGACTTCCCTGTGGTCCAGTGGTTAAACATCTGCCTTGCAATGCAGGGGATATGGGTTTGATTTCTGGTTGGGGGAATCAAAGACCCCACCTAAGATCTCATGTGCTGTGGGGCAAGGAAGCCTATGCACCGCAACTATGGAGCCCTCATGTTCTAGAGTGCCTGGCACAAGAGAGGCTGTGGGCTGCAACAAAAGATCCTGTTTGATGCAGTGAAGACCCCACGTACTGCAACTAAGACTGGACGCAGCCAAACAGATAAATAATAGGAACTGCTGCAGATTGGAGAAGACCATAAAGAGATGGGATCTAACTGCAATGTGGGATGCTGGTTTAGATCCTGAATCAGAGAAAGGAAATCAGTGGAAGAACTGATAAAATTCTCATCAGGTCTGCCATTTATAGTATTGTAGTCATGTTAATTTCCTGGGTTTGACTGTCCTGTTTTTCTGTAAGATGTTAACATTAAGGGGAGTCAATGAAGGATATATGGCAACTCTGTATAATGTCTGCAATTTTTCTGTAAATCTAAAGTTATTTCAGGAACTCCCCTGGTGGTCCAGTGGTTAAGAATTCATCTTCCACTGCATAGGATGCAGCTTTGATCCCTAGTCAAGGAGCTAAAATTTGACATGCCCTGGGGCATCTAAGCCCAAGAGCCACAACTAACTGAGCCCTCACGTTCTAGAGCCTGTTCACAACAAGAGAAGCCCGCGAGCTTCTAGAACAATTAGAGAAAGCCGAGCCGTGATGACGAAGAGACGATGCTCTGCAATGAAGGCCCAGCTCAGCCAAAAACAAAAGTTATTTCAAAAGAAAAAATGTCTTCAAAAAGTCATTAATCCTCCCAACAATCTTATGAGAAATGCACTGTTAAACCATTTTTATGCTTAAGTAAACTGAGATACAAAGAGGATAAGCATAAAAATCTTTCTCTCAGGGTGTGGAGAAAAGGGAACCTTCTTATTTTGTTAGTAGGAATGTAAATTGGTGCAGCCACCAAGGAGAACAGTATGGAGGTTCCCCAGAAAAGTAAAGATAGAGTTGCCACGTGATCCAGAAATTCCACTTCTGGGCCTGGGAGAAAACTGTAATTCAAAAAAAATACATGCACCGCAAAGTTCATAGCCACAGTATTTACGATAGCCAAGACCTAGAAGCAACCCAAGTACAACAACTGACGATTAGATTAAGAAGATGTGAGATACACATAAACACAATGGAAGTGGCTAGTGACTACCACATTGAACAGAATAAAAGAATAGAAAAAAGCATTTCCCAACAAATGTTGGAGAGGGTGTGGAGAAAAGGGAACCCTCCTACACTAAAACCTAAAAATAGAGTTACTATATGATCCAGCAATCCCATTCCTGGGCATATATTCAGACAAACCTATAATTTGAAAAGATACATGTACCCCTATGTTCATAGCAGCAGTATTTACAACAGTCAACACATGGAAACAACCTAAATGTCCATTGACAGGTGAGTGGATAAAGATGATGTAATACATATATGCAATGGAATATTACTGAGCCATGAAAAAGAACAAGTGAGGGTCAGTTGAACTGAGGTGGATGAACCTATCCCCTGTTATACAGAGTGAAGTAAGTCAGAACAAGAAAACCGAACATTGTATATTAACAAATATATATCAAATCTAGAAAAATGGTAGTGGTGAACCAACCAGTCCATCCCAAAGGATATCTATCAGTCCTGAATATTCATTGGAAGGACTGATGCTGAAGCTGAAACTCCAATACTTTGGCCACCTGGTGTGAAGAGCTGATTCGTTGGAAAAGACCCTGATGCTGGGAGGGATTGGAGGCAGGAAGAGAAGGGGATGACAGAGGATGAGATGGTTGGATGGCGTCACTGACTCAATGGACATGAGTTTGAGTGAACTCTGGGAGTTGGTGATGGACAGGGAGGCCTGGCGTGCTACGGTTCATGGGGTTGCAAAGAGTCGGACACAACTGAGTGACTGAACTGAACTAAACCTATTTGCAGGGCAGGAATGGAGACATAAACATAGAGAACTGACTTGTGGACACAGCGAGGGAAGGAGAGGGTAGGATGAATTCAGAGTGTAGCACTGAAATACCTTGTGTAAAATAACTAGTGGGAAGTTCCTATATACTGCAGGGAGCTCAGCCAGGTGCTCTGTGATGACTTAGAGGGATGGGATGGGAAAGAGTAGGAGGGAGACTCATGAGGAAGGAGATATATATATATGTATACACACACACACACACACACGATTGATTCACATCATTGAACAGTAGAAACTAACACATTGTTAACAAATTATCTTCCAATTAAAAAATCTTATAAATAATAAAATGCAGCACAAATTGACATATCTATGAAACAGAAACAGATTTACAGCTATAGAGAACAGATTTGTGGTTGCTGTGGGGGAGGGATGATTGGGAGTTTGGGATTAGCAGACATAAACTACTATATGTAGAATGGATAAATAACAAAGACCTACCACATAGCACAGAGAACTGTATTCAATATCCTGAGAGAAACCATAATAGAAAATAATATGAAAAAGAATATATATATATATATGTATGTATAACTGAATCACTTTGCTGCATAGCAGAAAGTAACACAACATCGTAAATCAACTAAACTTCAGTTAAAAAAAGAAAAGGTTGCTCTCACATTTGCCAGGAGCTCTTCATGTGGTCCCTACTCCTCCATTATAACCTAAGCCTTTTGAAAGCAGAGATGTGGTTTCTTTTGTTAAACTGTTTTACTGCAGTGCTTGGCACAAATATGCATTTGGTAAATATTTGTTGTTTGCATGAATGTAATATGTTGTTATGTGAGAAATTAGAACTGAGAAATATATGTACATTATGATTGAAAAATTTCAGTAAAAAATCTATACCACTATATCTTACCATGGGTCTTCCCAGGTGACTCAGTAGTAAAGAACCCACCTGCCAATGCAGCAGATGTGGGTTCCATCCCTGGGTTAGGAAGACCCCCTGGAGAAGGAAATGCAACCCACTCCATTACTCTTGCCTGGGAAATCCCATGGATGGAGGAGCCTGGCGGGCTACAGTCCATGGGGTCGCAGAGTCAGTCACGACTGAGCAACTAAACCACCACTGTACAGTATCATACATATCACATACTGTGATATATTCTAGAACTGCAGGTGCAGAGTTTTAAAAAAGAAAGAATTATTATTTTAAGCATGAGGGAATAACTAAGGTTGAAAATCTCTGAGGAGTTCGATAACTTTCATATTTATTCATATACTTTTACATCTTTAATGTTTCAAAGAGATTTTTCTTCTCTTTGTCCTCCCAGCAAGCAGGATATTAGTACCCTAACCAAGGATGGAACCCTGCCTCCTGCAGTGGAAATGTGGAGTCTTAACCACTGGACAACCAGGGAATTGGCACAGTGAAAACTTTTAAATCTAGGCTTAAGACTTCAGGCTCTTGTATTGGAATCATTGCCTCCACCAGCATGTCTTACCTCCTACATCCAGATCCACCTTGTAGTGGGCACTGTGGGTGTGGACGGTGCCCAGTGTGTTCTCCCGAACCTGGTTTCCATATCTTCGGGCAGCACCAAAGAGAAACACTGAGCCGATGTAGCCTGTGGCATGGAATTTGACTTCTATGGCCCCATTGGGGTGGAAGACCATATCCCACACATAGTCATAGTTGAGCATCGTGGACACAGACCTGAAGATCAGCACTGTCTCCACAACGCCCCCAAAATAGTGGGAAAGAAAATCTGAGTGGTGTCGCCTCAGGGGCAGGCCCTCGTTCTGCTCAAACACACAAAAGGCATCGTGTAGTGTCTTGGGGGCTTGGGACTCCAGAAGGAAGTGCCAGTCCACATAGGTAGCCAGATAGGGACAGTCCACCCCACGGCTCAGGGGTGTGGAAAAGTACCCCAAACCAAAGTTGGCATCTGCATACCGGCCTCTCAAGGCCAAAGGAGAATTTCCACCATAGATGGCCAAGGCTTCCTGGACACTGACTTCATACGCAATTCTTTCCCCCTGGAAGCGGATGTCAAAGATCCTAGGACCACTGAAACCTCCGAGGCCAAAGGAGAAAGTCCACAATGAGGAGGCCACTTGATTGCCCTGGACACTGAAGCGGGGGCCCTGAGGATGGAACTGCAGAGGGGGAGCTGGACCCGGGGGCACCTGGGACTTCAGGGACCAGGACCCACCTGTGCCATTGTCTGGGATCACCACCACATTCACCTGGCCAGCCTCAAACTGCTCCTCCAGCTGGGCCAGACTCTCATAGTAGCGGCCTTGAAAGAACACCTTCTGGATGGTCCACTGGGCAGGGTCCAGAGCCTTGTGGTCTACCAGAAGTTCCAACCCCACGGGATGCAGGAAGAACCCAGCCCCGGAAATGTTGTAGTAGAGGCCAAACCAGGTGGCCCTGTCCCCTGACTGCACGCCACGGGGAGCTGAGTTCATGGTCACCAGGTTCCTTCCTCCTTGTTTGTAGGAGCAGCAGTGGTGGAGGACACCAAGAGCCTGGGGCAGNGATGTTTGACTGCTGACTTGCCCCTGTCACCCCTGGGGCGACGTTGTGCCTTACTCCATAATGTACCCTGGTGCCTCCCAAGGTGCCTGGCACACAGGAGGCATTGGGGAAGTCTTTGGTGAACGCATGTGGGAATCCTACCCTGCACTCACAGAGGAGCCCTGCCTAGGGGCTGCAGGAGAGCCAAGGCAGGAGGCCACAGCTTCCGCTGCTCACAGGCTTTGCCTGTGTCTCCATGCCTGGGTTCCCAGGTATGCCCCTCCTGTAAGGACACCTTGGGTGTCCCCCAGTTCAGGTCCTCAAGGGCAATGGGCCCAAGTCCAAAAGATTGTGCCCTTGGGGACAGGAGTTCCTTAGAACCTGATATCCTGGGTTACCCTTCCCTCCTTTGGCTTGACCATGTGTTTGAGGCTAACATCCAGCCAGCCTCAAGGTATTAAGGAGAGAGTGGGTGGGGTGTATGGCTGGAGGTCCACCTTGCAGGCCTCCTGACCTCAATAGGCTGAGAAGCTCTCGATCTACATGTCCACTGAGGCCTGGGCCAGGGGTGTCATCCCTAGACCAGCTGTAATCTAGAGAGACTACATCCCTAGAGAGACACAACTATAGTCTTTGTTCCACATCAAAGCTGTGATCGAGCATCCACACACAATCACATGCACAATCACCACTTATAAACACTCACTGCCTTGGTCTGGACATGCTTTCAAGGCAATGACTTGCAAGTTATTTTGCCCGGGTAGGGAAGGGGATTGACACCACATTCCTTTATTCCGAAAGAAATAATTCCCTTATTCCTTTCCTTCCAGCACTGAATCTCATGCAACTGACCATTAAAAGGAGCCAGAAGGAGGTGGAGACAACAGCATATACATCTTATGGAGAAGTTCAATGACTTAGGTCAGAGAGAGAAAAGGCATCAAGTCAGAATCAGAACCACAGCGACCACAAAACCCATTTTTCTCCTCTGTCTCAGTCTTTAACTGTTCCTTTTCCGCAGCCTCTGTCCCCTGCCACACTGACTTCCACCTTGGGTCGTGTTATAAATTCATCCACCCACCACACTCTCTCCTGACTGAGGTCTTTCTCCCAGTTCTTTGAAACCTAGCTTCTCTCCAGCTCACTGATTCATCTCCATCCACTGTTGATCCAGCAGTGAACCTGGGCTTGGAGCAATACAGAAAGGATCAGAAGCTTCTGTGCTGTGTGTGCTCCCTGGGTGTGACTCCCTCAGGTCAGAATCTGAGCAGCATCTGAAATCTGTTTCCTGTCTTTCACCCCTCAGCCCTGCATGGGCTTCCAGCAGTTGGAGGTCACCCTTCCCCATTGCTTCTCATTCCCCTTCTCTGAAGAGAGACAGACAGGGAGAGTGAGCCATAGACAGTCAAAGAGAGACTGACTGAGGTTTAACGTTTTCCTCGGAGACGTACAGAGAAGATGAGGCGAAGGGGTCACCAGAGACCACACCTATTTCTTTGGGTCTCAAAAGTTTAGAAAAATGAGTCCCTGGGCTCATCTCTCAACATAGTTTATCCTCCCCCATTCTACCCTATCTGAAAAGACAACTTATTAATGGTTTAAAGGATGAAGTCAGGTCTTGTATGGGGCCATTTATTATTTGAATAATAATAAATGAATAGGTAATACAGTCATATGCCTCAAAGTTTTTAAAAAGGTTTATACTACTAAGTCCCCCTTCCTGAGTCCGTTCCACCTGGATGCCCTCCAGAGGCAACCAGTGACACACATGTCTTCCGAATATGCACCTATAAGATATGTAAATATGTATTTATATGATCTTTCCTTTAGAACACAAAAGGTGGTGCCCTATATACACTTCTGTACCTTGCCTTGCTCTTTAGAAGATTAATTTCTAGAAAGAAATGTGATTGGTTTTATAGCTATGTAATATTGCTTTGTAAGACTGTATAAGAATTTAGTTAATGAATCTTCTAGGAAAGGCAGTTCTATAATTTGAAATCTCTGGACATGTGTAGAGAGACCCTGGCTCCAGACCCATTCCATCCACATCAGCCCAGGGACAGCCTGTGGGGGAGGCTCCACCCCCAGAGGTCCTGGCTCCTTTGCACGGTCACACGTGATTGGACAACGCCTGGCTCCACGACAGGTCTTCTTGCCTCTCTCCCTAGGTGCCCACCCAACCTCCCCTACTGGCTACTGCAGTGTGCAGAGGACACAGGTCACAGAGAGACCTGGCACAAAATGACCACTCCTCGTGACCACTGCACCCACAAATCCACCTCAAGGGCTACCTCGAGCTGCTGCTGTCTCCACGACCACCCCTGCAAGAGGATGCAAGACAGGCCTATACAAACACACTGTCCCCGGACTGGGAAAGGGGCAGCCTCCAGACACAGGGAGACAGATGGGAACTGTCTTCTCAAGCTAGATGTCCCTTGCATTTTCAGACTTCCACAGGCCTAGAGTCAGAAAAGGAGACCAGAGTTGAAAAATGAGAGCTGAGGAACCTCAGAAAAAGAGACTCAGATGTATAGAACAGACTTGTGGACTCTGTGGGAGAAGGCGAGGGCGGGATGTTTCAAGAGAAAAATTTCTAAAGGGTTTATACTACTAAGTTGCCTCCCGTTTGAGTCCCCGTCTCCTGGTTCCTCTCCACAGCAGCAACCAGTGTTACCCATGTCTTCTGAATACGCATTTCTAAGATATGAAAATATGTACTTATGTGATACTTCCCTGTAAAACACAAGTGGAGGTGTCCTATACACACTTCTGTTCTTTCTCTTGTTCACTGGATTATGATTCTCTATAAAGAGATATAATTACTTTTACAGCTGCATAGATTTGTTTTCTAAGAGTGTATCAGAATTTATTTAATCAGTCTTCTAGGAACAAGAGTTCTACTGCTTCCCATCTCTGGTTATTTGCAGAGGTAGCGCAAATCCAATCTGCCACCACCCAGCTGTCCATAGGAACAGCCTGTGTGGAGGCTCCACCCCCAGAAACCCTGGCTTATTTGCATGCTTACATATGCTTGAACAGCACCTCGCCCCATGGTGTGAGTCTTCCTGTTCTGCCTACCCCACCTTCCCTGGTGCCGTGGGCACTGGCCACACACACACCTGATGCAAAATGACCACTCTTCATTAGCACTGCACGCAGAAAACTGGAGCTGCTGCTGTCCCCATGACCATCCTCTGCCAGAGGATGCAAGTTCCAAGGCAGATCTACACAAATGGGCAGAAAGAACTGTGAAGAGACACCCTGTCCCAGGACTGAGGGAAGGGGAAGCTCCCAGACACAGGGAGACAGATGGGGCTGTCTTCTCAAATTAGATGTCCCTTCCAGTTTGAGACTTCCACAGGCCTGGAGCCAGGAGAGGACACCAGAATTGAGAAATGAGAACTGGGGAAAATCTGCTCAGGGCAGAAAGGGAAATCCCAGAAAATAAGAACAGGTAAGAACAGGAGGTCTGGCTCGGTCTCTTGTGGAGTCCCTGGGTCCTGGTACACGCAGGGTTTTGTTTGAGCCCTCTGAATGTCTCTGGCAGGTATGGGGTTTGATTCTAAAAGTGATTTCACCCCTTCTACCGTCTCATTGGAAGGACTGATGCTGAAGCTGAAACTCCACTATTTAGTCAACTGATGAAAGAACTGACTCATAGGAAAAGACCCTGATGCTGGAAAAGACCGAAGGCAGGAGGAGAAGGGGATGACAGAGGATGAGATGGTTGAATGGTATCACTGACTTGATGGACATGAGTTTGAGCAAGCTCCAGGAGTTGGTGGTGGACAGGGAAGTCTGGTGTGCTGCTGTCCATGGGGTCTCAAGAAGTCAGACACAACTGAGCAACTGAACTGAACTGAACTGAAGAACAGGAGGGGGTTAGGCAAGAAGGAAGAGAGAGAGAGAAAGAAGACTAGAATGAGAGGAAACATGGGCCAAAGAGTTCTTTCCAGCTGGACTCCTGGATTCAGCTGGCAGGAGCCCTGCCTGGGGCGCCTAGGCGGCCATCCACATAGAGAGCCCCCATCCTCCCCTCCCAAGTGAGGGCTGGGGAATCTCAGAAGAGATCTGGCATGGCCTAAAAAGATTTGAGAAACCCAGAAGGCAAAATAAGTAGAAAACAAACAAAAAAATTGCCAAAGTTAAGTCTTCTAGAAAGGTTTAATCATCACACTAGACTTCCAGTTGGCCATTTATCTTCTCTCTGCGATAGCAATGCAGCAGGTCTGGAGTCAACAGAGTTGAGAAGCCCATGGGTCAGGCAGCACAGGCTACGGATACTCCCAGGAAGGATGAGGAGGCAAGGGCAGAAGATGGGAGAGGGAGGAACCTGGGGTGGGAGCTGGGAGAAACTCAGTGCCCAGCCCCTCCCCTCTCCACACTTCCTTGTCTTTGGGTCCTAGACACATTCCTCACCCCAAGGACCACCTAGTACTCAGGGAAGCCCCCGTGGGAGAAGGCAGGGAGGTCAGGGACACAGGCAGCAACCTGTGGCAGGCAAGCCAGGGAGTTGACCTCGCAGGACCCAGCATCCTGGTCTTCCCGGAAGTAGATGGAGTCAGCAGAATCCATGGAGGGCTCCTGGTCAAAGAAGTTGTAGGGTCGCAGGAAGAAGCCCACACCGTTCCCTACTGTCACCGTGTTGGGAATGTCCTCTGCATGTGGGATGTGCAGGAAACCGGCTGTCACCCAGGCCACCAAGTCCTAGTGGGGTAGAAAGAGAGTCAAGACTCCTGGCACTGCTAAGGTCAATTGCCTCCCCAGGCTTCACTTTGGGAGCCTAGCTTCGAACAAGAGAGTTTTAAGTCTTTAATGTTTTCCTACTAGCCCAGAAATCAAAGCATAAAGAATCGATTTCACATTGGGAGCAATACCAGAACTCCTTGCTAGCCTAAAGTCTCCATCTCTGACTTTCCCTATCACATCACCATCAGTCTATGCATCTGAGGGGAATAATGCAACCTTTAGGTTACTTCAGTACCTCCCTTGACTCTGGGAGTATTCCCAA